GAGGTCAGGCTGATAGGTCTGTAATTTCCTGGATCCATTTTTTTTTCCTTTTTTGAAGATGGGAACTACATCAGCTCTTTTCCAGTCCTCTGGTAGTTCCCCAGTGCTCCAAGATCTTTGAAAAATATAGTTCAGTGGTTCTGAGATCACATCTGCCAGTTCCTTGAGAACCTTGGGGTGTAATCCATCTGGTCCTGGTAATTTGAACTAGTCTAGGCTGGACAGGTGCTCACTTATCATTTTCTTGCCTATCTTAACTTGTGTTTCTATACTGTTTTTTATGGCACTATTTTTGATAGGTTGGTCTGTTTTTTCCCTTTGTGTAAAGACAGATGCAAAAAACGAGTTAAATAGTTCTGCTTTCTCCCTATTGCTTGTCACCTTCTTACCACCTTCCCCCACTAATGGACCAATCGTTTCCTTCACTTTTTTCTTGTTTTTTACATGTTGAAAGAAGCTTTTTTTTGTTATTTTTGACTTTGGTCGCAAGCCTTAGTTCATTTTGAGCCTTGGCTTTCCTCACTTCATCTTTGCACATTTGATTTTTCTTGCCTAAATGTAGAACCCTACTTTTTTCACCATTGAATTTCATTTTGTTAGATAGTGCCCAGTGTTCAAGTCTGTCCAGGTCACTAGATCACCTCCAAGGTCCCTTCCAACTTTATTATTATTATTATTATTATTATTATTATTATTATTATTATTATTATTATTATTATTATTATTATTATTATTATTATTATTATTATTATTATTATTATTATTATCATTATTATCATTATTATTATTATTATTATTATTATTATTATTATTATTATTATTATTATTATTATTATTATTATTATACAAGGAGTGGGGACCCACCTCTCCAACCTCTGGAGAGAGAGTGTTCCACAGGGCAGGGGCAACGTCAGGGAAGGCTCTCTTCCTGGACCCCGCCAGTCAAAATGATTTAACTGACAGGGTCCATGAAAAAACCATCCCTGACTGACTGGGTGGGACAGACTGATGTAATGGGACGAAAACGGTTCCTAATCCATAGGTAACCTGGCCCCATGCTTTATAGACCACAACCCACTCCTTGAATTGGACCCAGAAGCAAACTGGCACCCAATGCAGCTCATATAGCAAAGTTGTTACATGCGCCATTCTCTGGGCGTCCAAGATATCCCACAAGGCCCAATTTTGTACCAGCTGAAGCTCCCAGATACTTTTCAAGGATAGAACACGTTGCCATAGTCCAACCCAGGGGGTCTTCAACCGTGGCCCTTTTATGACTTGTGGACTTCAACTCCCAGAATTCCTCAGCCAGTGTGCCTGGTTGAGGAATTCTGGGAGCTGAAGTCCACAAGTCATAAAAGGGCCAAGTTTGAAGACCCCTGGTCCAACCAGTAGATTGTGAAGAATAACTTATTTATTTGCATTCTGTCTTCATTATTTTTACAAATAGCTCAAGGCAGCAACCCAACACACCTTTCTCTTCCTATTTTCCTCACAACCATAGCTCCATGTGCTGAATTGGGCTGAGAGAAAGGGACTGGACCAAAGTCACCTGGCCGGCTTTCATGGCTAAAGTGGGACTAGAACTCATGGTCTCCTGCTTTCTAGACTGGCGCCTTAATGACAAGACTAAACTGGCTCTCTTATAAACATCAAACTGAATTTGAACAAGCCAAGAGCACGCTTGATGGTGAATCTATGGCCTGTCAAATATTGTTGAGCATCAGCACTGAGATATCAGGAAGTTTGGATTCTACAACATCACCATTTCTCACTAGTTTGACATTCCCTTTCTACTTTGTTAATGGAAGAAAAAAGGATTTCTCACCACAAATGCCAGCTTTTTCCCAGGTTTAATCAAATCAAAACAGCTATAAGCAACCCACCTATAGCTGTTACTCTTACCTCTGCAAGTAAGGGTGTATCCCTGGTCATTTCACTAACAACCGTGTCAGCTTCAGATGAGAAGTTATCATCATCTTTAATAGAAAGGAGGGGAGAGAAAGAATAATTATTCAAAGTGGCCCCTGAATCCAGACCCAAATTAAGCACTCCAGAACCACTCCTGAACCTTTCCATTGGGTTATTCCTGCCTTTTCCGGGAAGGCAGGAGCAAAAAATAAACAGTTTTTAAAATTGCTCAAATTATAACTGAGCATGAAAATCCCTGAAGGAAGCAGAAAAGGTTTGCACTGAGAATACAAGTAATGTATATACTTGCATTTAAGCCCATCTGTGAATAATCTGCCCCTCAAGTTTTTCATCTTTTAATTTTCACAATTGGCTTTTGTGGATAATCTGATTTTCATGGTATTTTGGTTAAAAATGCCAGGCTCAGCTTACACACAGATGGGTTTATATGCAAGTAGATGCAGATACTTTTAAAAAGTATCATTACTAATGTAATACATTTAATTTAAAGATAAGCCAAACCCAATTTGGAGGTATATTTTGGTAGCTAAAGTTCTCAGCTTATCTTCAAGTAAGTACGGTAAGTTCCTGAGTTAAGTCTGAGAAGAATCCGAACTCAGCCCTTCCCATCATTTTCCACCAATGCAATTTACTGAATGGCTGGATGAATGGAGCTGCCTTTCAGTTGTTGGGTTATTGGTGCTGGATTGCCATTTCAAATTTTGTATCCTGTACAGGTAGTCCTTGAGTTACGACCGTAATGAAACTTGCCAATCACAGTTGTAACCCATGATGATCATAAAGCGATCAGTTACATGATCAACCTGACTTTACAACCCAAAGGTGCTTTTTCATGAGGCAACTGGAGTTTCTTTTTTTCTCTCTTTGAAGACGTTTCGCTTTTCATCCAAGAAGCTTCTTCAGCTCTGACTGGATGGTGGAGAAGAAATCATAAAATGGGGCCAAACTCACTTTAACAGTTGTCTTAATTAGCAACAGAAATTTTGGTCTCAATTGTGGTCGTAAGTCGAGGACTACCTGTAATAAAATCCCAAACCACAAAGATAGACACATCCCTCTTACGTTTCTAGGGGGTATTACCTGGAAGTGGCACCACGTTGTCCAAAAGAACCTCAGCTCCTTGGAATGGCAGGGTTACAAAGTCAGATCTTAAAAATAAAAAGAGAGAGAGAGAGAGATGAATAAGGAAATGTATTAGAAGAACAAACAGACACCTTAGAAATGTCTAGGCCAGGAGTAGGCAACCTTGGCTCTTTTATGACTCGGGGACTTCAACTCCCAGAATTCCTGAGCCAGCCATGCTGAGAAGAAAGGGAGAGGTTTCCATGCTGAGTCATGCCGGCTCAGGAATTCTGGGAGTTGAAGTCCACGAGTCATAAAAGAGCCAAGGTTACCAACCCCTGGTCTAGGTTTACAATCTAAGACCCAAAGCTTCCTTCTCTCTAGCTCAGTGATGGCGAACCTTTTAGAGACTGAGTGCCCAAACTGCAACCCAAAACTCACTTGTGCATCGTCGGGTGCCAGGTGGGTGTGGCCCATTGGCTGGGTGTGGCCATTTGGGGGGGTGGCCATTTGGGGGGGCATGGCCAATTGGGTGGGCGTGGCTGCAGTGGTAATGGCAGACTGGGCGGGACTAAAAAGTTCAATCAATCAATTCCAACTTTGCAAGATCTTTTTTTTTCCCGTGAGAAGTTGAAATTGACTGATTGATTGAACCTTTTATTTTTGGACATGGCGGCGGAGGCCTAAAGCGAAAAGGTTTTATAAAATCCAGCTGAAGGCCTAGCACTGGGGCGACGGTGCGCGTGCCCACAGAGAGGGCTCTGAGTGCCACCTTTGGCACCCGTGCCATAGGTTCGCCACCACTGCTCTAGCTCCTTTGGGCAAAAAATGAGAATATTTTTGGCAGCAAGCTATTGGGCTTAGACTAGAGCAGTGATGGCGAACCTATGGCACGCGTGCCAGAGGCGGCACTCAGAGCCCTGTCTGTAGGCACGCGTGCCGTCACCCCAGCCCCACTTCCCCCACGGCCCCCTCCTCACCAGCAGCCCCCCCTGGAGGAGAGTCACCCCTGGTTGTGGCCTGTGCGGAGCAGCGCAGCCAAGGACATGGCAGCTGGGCAGCAGGCACAAGACTCCGCCCCCACACCCCGCAGCAGCATCTGCGTGGCCGCCATGGTGCTGCAGGGCCGCCTGGGCGATCTGCCGCGGCGGGCCATGGAGGTGGTAGGTGGCCCTGCGGGGGGCAGGGGCTGAACAGGGCAGAGTGAGTAGGGCAGGAGGTAGGGCGGAGTAGGCAGGGCAGGGGGCAGAGCAGAATGGGCGGGACAGGGACGGAGCGGTTTTGGGGCACTCGGTGTCTAAAAGGTTCGCCATCACTGGACTAGAGTTCCCCAAAATGATTAATACTGACACTCAAAGGCCCACTGGGCTATCCAAAGGGTCGTTATTTTTGCAAATAGTCTTCCACTTACAAACTCAACTGAACCCAGAATTTTGGTCCTCGTTGCAGTCATTAAGCAGGTCATCATATGATCTGACTCGATTTTACAACTTTTACAGTGGTTGTTAAGTGAGTCATGGTGGTCATTAAGCAGATCATGTGGTTATTGAGTGAGCCATGTGATTGTTAACTTAATCCAGTGTAGCCTGTGACCAGCTCTTGGTTAAATACGGCCTTAAACTTGGTCCCCTGACTACTTATGGCTGTGTGTGTGTGCCCAACTTAAGAATTTCTTGCATTGTGAGAAAGATCTTTATTGCTAATAAGGCAATGTAACAGAATTCTGAAAGTCAGCCAAGCAATTTTCAAGATCAACTTGTATCTAGCATGACTAAGCTAGAGTTTATTTTTTTAGCTGTTTATTTTTTGTCCAAGATCAAGTCACAGAATTTAAAAATACAGCACACCATTAATACACACGTAAGAATAAGTACAGGTATTCCTCACTTAACAACCACAATTGGGACCAACAATTTTGTCACTGAGCAATATGGTCATTAAGAGAGACATCAGGTAATCATGGCTGGCAATTTTATTGCCGGCTTCTCTATCGATTCTGCTTGTTGAGAGATGGCTGTGAAGCAGGCAAATGGCGGTCACTTGAGCGGAGGGAGCTGTGACTGTTATAAACGCCTGCCGATTGTGAAGCCCCATCATTGCAAGGATAATTCAACCAAACTACCCACCCAACTAAAGGCCAACATTTTAATTGCTACACTATATTACAATTACATTTTCCAACTGCTTCTTCCAGGCCACTGGTGTTCATCTATAAGAAACTCTAATTTCTTACAGTTAACCACTGGAACAGCTTGCCTTCGGAAGTTGTGGGCGCTTCATCACTGGAGGTTTTTAAGAAGAGACTGGACAGCCACTTGTCTCAAGTGGTGTAGGGTCTCCTGCTTGAGTGGGGGGCTGGACTAGAACCGGGGTCCCCAACCTGTGGGCTCACTACTGGGCCATGGGCTGATGGCCACGTCAGTGGCTGGCCAGTGCATACGCGTGTGTGTGCTTGCAATCCCCACTCACGGTAACGTTGCAATGTCGCGCGGGCACTAGCGATGCTGTGAGCGTTGTGCAGGCGCTAGCGTCGCTATGAGCGCATGCCCCCCCACTCGTGCCAGTGTCACGGTGACTCTAGTGATGTCTTGAGTGTTGTGCGGGCACTAGCATCATAAGCGCACGCTCCCTCTACTCGTGCTAGTATTGTGACATTGCACAGGCGTTATCGTCCCTGCGAGCACAAATCCTCACTTGCGCTAGCATTGCGTGGACGCTAGCATCACCTGACCGTTGCACAGGTGCTTGTGGCCCTGTCGACATTATACATGCAATTGCAGCCCCGTGTATGTGCGCTTGCGGCCCAGTTCACATGGGCACTCGCTCACACGCTTAAAGGCGCCTCCACCACCCCCGCCCCAGTCTGCCAACCCAGAAAAGTTGGGGACCCTTGGACTAGAAGACGTCCAAGGCCCCTTCCAGTTTTACTCTAGTCTGAAATTCTAGTTCAGGGATGTCCAACACTGGCCACTGTAACACCTGTACACTTCCACCGCCAGAATTTCCCAGCCAGCTAGCTGAGAGTTGAAGTCCACAGGTCTTAAAGCGGCCAATGTTGGACACTCCTGAACTAGTTTCAAGTGGAGAATCTGGAAAGAGTCTGCAAGGATGAAACAAGGTCCATCTATTTCAACATTCATAGAATTCAGGATGCCAACCTCTCGGAAAGGAACTCCGGGTCACCTCACCTGATTTGTCTAAGCAAATCAATCTTGACTCGGTCGTATCCACCATAATCCACATATCTGATTTCCACTTCGCTGACATCTTTGAAGTAGCCAACCACTTGTGCCCGCCACCACGCGCCTTCCACACCCGGTGCGGCACAGACAACGCCAACTGCAGAACAGAAAAATTGGGAACAATTCAGTAGGCAATGCAATAGCTTTCTGGGAAATAAAGAAGTGTGTGCGTGTGGGGGACAGGGGTGGGGAAGCATGGTCCTTTTATGACTTGTGTACTTCAACTCCCAGAATTCCTGAGCCAGTTGAAGTCCACAAGTCATAAGGGGGCCATCATTCCCCATCTCTGCTATAGAAGAACGGGGTCCGCCTTAAGTCCTTCCTTTACTAATAGTCTTTCAACATACAAGTAGTTCTCGACTTATGACCATGTTGGAGCCTGCCCATTATGATTTTAAGTCATGATGATCATAAAGCGAGCCATGGTGGCGCAGTGGTTGGAATGCAGTATTGCAGGCTAATTCCACTGCCAGTAGTTCGATCCTGACCGGCTCAAGGTTGACTACACCTTCCATCCTTCTGAGGTCAGTAAAATGAGGACCCAGATTGTTGGGGGAAATATGCTGACTCTGTAAACCGCTTAGACAGGGCTGCAAAGCACTATGAAGCGGTATATAAGTCTAAGTGCTATTGCTATTGTGTGACTAATTTTACATTATTTTTTTTGCAGTGGTCGTCCAACAAATCATTATAAAAGTTAAATAAATCTGTAGTCATTAAATAAACCCACTGTTTCCTATGGGGCGTTTTGAGTGAAAACTGGAAACAAATGACAGTTTTGGCCCAGAACAGTGTAAACTGCAATCACATGACCGCAGGACACCTCAAATGGCCATAAATGCGGGCCAACTGCCAAGCAGCCAAAATGCAGTCACATGACCATGGGGGAGCAGATGTTAAAACTTTAAAACCAAGTCAAAAGGACCGTTTGGCAGGCGGTAGGGGGGAACCATCAGAATTTTGAAAGGTTAGTCAGTGACCAGCTGTAAGTCAAGGACTACCTGTAACCACTCCATAATAGCATTCTTTTCTTTTTTCAGAAATAATCAAACTTTGCAGGTGGCGAGACAGTCTCTGCCCCAAATGAAACCTGAAGATCTGTGGTCAACATTTTATCCAATGGATGCTAATGCCATGGACTCCATGCCAATTAACATCATTTGTTCAGTTATGCCAGGGGTCTTCAAACTTGACAACTTTAAGACTTGTGGACTTGGCAATCAGATTCACACTTTCCTGCTGATTGGCCCAAAGTCACCCAGCTGGCTTTCATGCCTAAGGCAGGACTAGAACTCACAGTCTCCTGGTTTCTAGCATGATGTCTTAACCCAGGAGTCTTCAAACTTGGCCCTTTTATGACTTCAACTGGGAGTTGAACTCCACAAGTCATAAAAGGGCCAGGTTTGAAGACCCTTGTCTTAACTACTAGACCAAACTGGCTCTCCTATAATAGCAAAAAGCTAGAAGGCTGAAGAATGATTCTTTTCTGCTTCCATTTTGGTGATCAAACCAACATCACCTCCTTTATCAAGGGTGCAAAGGTGCATGGAAACTATATCGGAGAAGACTTACCCTCTACTGGGGTCGGCATCGTAGGAATCCCAGGTTGGGAATAGCAGAGATACATCTGCTGATCTAGGCTACGAAGGACGTGGAAAGTGGGATGCGTGTGTTGTTGTACGAATAAGTGCCCGGCATTGACTTGATTAACCACAATAACTTCTACTGTAACTCCATCAGGAAGCATGAGCTGGCACAGAAGGATGAAGAGAGATGTATTTCCATGCACAAGTTATGGCATTTAATTTCCAAGCTACAGATTATAACATTGTATAGAAATGAGAGCAGAGTTAAGCAACTTGTACCCTTTGTACTGCAGAGACTACAACGTCCTAAGTTAGCGTAGTAACATGGCTCAACAGGAGGAGATATTGAACATTGTGTAAATCACTTAAAGGAGACAAAGTTGCTCACCCCCCCAAATACACTGATTTTGTCAGCTGCCACCTTATGCTTGCTTTGCTCTATACTCTGACAGACTGGGATGAATTGTGGGGAGGGGGAATGAAGGAGGGGAATGCTTGGGGAAATGAAAGTAAGTGCTGTATCTCCACGAGAAGCTGCCTCAAGGTCACTCAGCTGGAAGGAGGAGGGAGTTGCATACCAAACTATGCTTGGAGTGACTATTATGAAAACATCTTGCCTGTACCTAATTGGTTACAGAAAGCATGCAAATAGGAGAAATTGGCGTACAGGCAAACCTCCACTAAGGAACTCTTTCTGTGTGAATGTGTACAACAGCATGCCCTGCCCATTGGTATCAGAAATAAATCTCCAAACTAGAACTGATGATGTTACCTAATTAGGTAACGAAACGTCTACAAAAAAACAACAACCAAACTCATAGCACACCAAGGATTCCACAGTTCAACTCTGAACTACACACGTTCTCTTCTATTGGTGCCCCCTTCTTCTCTCTTCTTATCAGCTCCCTTTTTGTCTCTGTGATAGTTTTATTCCCTCTCTTCCCTCCCACTTAAACAGAACAGGCTGTTCATGCTGCGGGTCTACACCCTGGCAGAGTGTTTCTGAAAATAGGCCAAGGGCTGTGGGTGGCTGTAAAGACTACAAGTTCCCAACCTCTGCTACGCGCAGGCAACTTTCCAAATCTGCATAAATGCATTAGAATCTTAAGGTCAGGAGTTCTCAAGGAAATGGTCAACCCATGACACATGAAATCAGTGTTCCAACAGAAGCCCAGTTCCTTTAGTATGTGTGTATAACATTATACATATGTATAAATCAGCTGGAGATTGTTGTGATGGAGCTTTCGACCTTTTGACAAAAGCTCTGGATTCCGCAGATGCTTCCACCTCCAGGAAAGAAGTATCACCAAGAAGACACCAGACTAAGATGCTTCGAAACTGTCATTACAGAGATGTGTTAAGAAAGCAAGGGACCATATCCTACTGCAGGGGTAGGCAACCTTGGCTCTTTTATGACTCGTGGACTTCATCTCCCAGAATTCCTGAGTCAGTCATGCTGACTCAGGAATTCTGGGAGTTGAAGTCCACGAGTCATAAAAGAGCCAAGGTTGCCTATCCCTGTCCCAGTGCAACCCAACAACTGACGAATCAAAGTCCTTCCAAAGCCAGCAATTTCTCCAGTTTTACTAAGGGTTTTTGAGCTTGTGCTTACCCAGGAGGTGATGGGGAGGGAATGCAATGGCAACGGTTGGGGTAGTGGAGCATAGATATTGGTGAGACTCAAATCCTTGAACTTCTTTCCAATCAGGGCCAGTGCTTTGTCAACGTTTTGCTGAGAGCCTGTGGGGAAGGAAGGGGAGAGGAAAATACAGATTTTAGAAGATGTTTAGGCACAAAGGAAGAATCACGATAGCCCGCCTCAGGAAGAAAGGCAAGATCTGCTCATTGAAGCAAGAGAGGAATGATTTTGCTTCGCATCCTGTAAAGGAGCAGCCAAGGCAATTTCTATGTGAAAGGAAGAATTCAATCCAGCGTATTTACACCAAACTCAATGGTTTTCCATTTGGACCAGTGTTTCTCCACTCAACAATCTGAAGACGGGTGGACTTCAACTCCCAGAATTCCTAAAACCGGTATGGCTGGCTGGGGAATTCTGGGACTTGAAGTCCACCCATCGTAAAGTTGCTGAGGTTAATTAACACGGATTTGGACCATTCTTATCTATAGCAGTAGTAATAGCACTTAGACTTACATACAATAGTGCTTTACATCACTCTCAGGGCAGTTTACAAATGTCTGCATATTGCCCCCAACAATCTGGGTTCTCAATTTACCGACCCTGGAAGGATGGAAGGCTGAGTCAACCTTGAGCCAGTCAGGATCGAACTCCAGGCTGTGGGCCGAGTTTGCCTGCAATACTGCATTCTAACCACTGCGCCACCACAGCCCCACTCTTCCACAAAGTCTTAATATGAGTGTCACTCCTTATCCAATCAATGTAGAGCAGTGTTTCTCAACCTTGACAATTTTAAGGCATGTGGACTTCAATTCCCAGAATTCCACAGCCAGCAATGCTGGCTGTGGAATTCTGGGAGTTGAAGTCCACATGCCTTAAAATTGTCAAGGTTGAGAAACACTGATGTAGAGGGAAGCACCACAGGAGTGGAGAATTCTCAGATTCAGTAAATCAAAAATCAAATGTGCCATATTTTAAACTTGGGGTGAAATGCCCATTCCACATAGTCCTCCAGCAGGTTCCACTCACCTTCTATATGACAGATCTGGAAGTCCTGGGTGTGAAGTAGTGTGAAAATGTAGATTTTGGCACCAGAGACTTGCTTCAGGAAGTTCACATATCTCCCTTGTTTGCCTATCAGCCGTCCTACTAAGTGCTACGGGAAAAAGAAAAACGGAAAAAAGAATAATAAATGGAGGAACACATTTACAGATGTCTCATCCTGTAGATCAGAAACGACCAAGTGTATCAACTCTGGAACTACATAAACTTATTTATTTTTCAAATTAATGCCCAGAAGCTTTTGGGGAAGCATTGACGGTAGATATTTACACTGTATTGCTGCCTGGCTCCTATTTTATGTTACTTATACATGTAGTCCTCGACTTATGGCTTAGCATCAAAAGTTATGATAGAATCTCCAAAAGGTACTTATGACCTCAGTTCCAAAGATCTGACGGCTGCTCACCTGGTTACATGATGACATTTTGGATACCTGGCAATTGATCTGCACTTACAGCTATTTGCAGTGTTCCACAGTCACATGACTGCAATTTATGCGTGTTTTTTTTTTACTGCAAAGTGGTATTTACTTATGGTTTTTTAGCAAAAACATCCCATAGAAAGCAATAGGTCTGCTTAATGACCACTGCAAAACAAAACAAAAAAGTTTGTAAAATCAGGACATGATGAACCTGCTTCATGACTGTCATGATTTATAACCTAATAGGCAGGCTCCATTACAGTTGTAACTCAAGGACTACATGAATTGTAGCATTGTTTTTTATTTTAAACTGTTAGCCACCCAGAGCCATACATCTGAGTTGGGCAGCCCTACAAATTTAATAAATAAAGCTGGCTTGCAGCAGTTTACAATGCTAAATAACAATAAAATGTTATGCATCGAACAGATAAGTAACAACAAAACCTATGAAACCCTGAAAAAAGACCTTCAGAAGGATAAGACAAGTTACAAAAACAGGTTTTCAGATTTCATTAAAAACGAGGGTAAAGAGTGTGCATCAATGGGTAGGGAATATGCTACACAGGAGCCACCACAGAGAAGGCCCGGACTCTAATTCCAATTGGTGACACCTAATAATAATAATAATAATAATAATAATAATAATAATAATAATAATAATAATAATAATAATAATAATAAAAAAGTTGGAAGGGACCTTGGAGGTCATCAAGTCCAATCCCCTGCTCAGGCAGGTAACACTGAATGAATCTTGATTGCTGATTGAAACTCTTGGTGAGTTAATACATGGGAATAATTCCTTTAGGAAGGCTGCCCTTGAGATGTAAATTGATTTATCTATTAAAACAAGCCTCTTGAATTTAGCTTAGAAAACAATACAGAGTCAGTGCAGTTACACGGGGTACCACAAGTTCTTAATGTGCAATCACCATGAAATACCCTAACTGAGATTCTAGAAAGAGTACAGAGAAGAGCAACAAAGATGATTAGGGGACTGGAGGCTAAAACATATAAGGAACGGTTGCTGGAATTGGGTATGTCTAGTTCAGGGGTTTTCAAACTTGGTCCTTTTATGACCCCTGGCCTAGTTTAATGAAGAGAAGGATGAGGGGTAACATGATAGCAGTGTTCCAATATCTCAGGGGCTGCCACAAAGAAGAGGGAGTCAGGCTATTCTCCAAAGCGCCTGAAGGCAGGAGAAGAAGCAACGGATGGAAACTAACCAAAGTGAAGCAACCTAGAACTAAGGAGAAACTTCCTGACAGTTAGAACAATTAATCAGTGGAACAACCTGTCTCCAGAAGCGGTGAATGCTTCAACACTGGAAGTTTTTAAGAAGACACTGGACAGCCATTTGTCTGAAATGGTATAAGGGTTTCCTGCCTGAGCAGGGGGTGATGATCTCCAAGATCCCTTCCAACATCATCATCATCATCATCATCATCATCATCATCATCATCATCATCATCATCATCATCATTATTAACTAAGCAACAGTTTGGTCTAGTGATTAAGGCACCTGGCTAGAAACCAGGAGATTGTGAATTCTAGTTCCACCCTAGGTTTGAAAGCTAGTTTGGGTGACTTTGGATCAATCACCAGGAAACAGTGAGTTCTAGTCCTGCCTTAGATATGGAAACCAGTTTGACTGACTTTGGGGCCAGGCCCTCTCTCTCAGCCCAATCTACCGCAGAGGGCACAGCTGCCCAACCTATAGGGCACGTGGCCTGCAAATGGGTGCACGAACAACGGCAGTGTTAGTGCACATGCATGCACAAGCGGGTCAAGGGCACCCGTGGCAGTGCTCTGGCGCCTGTGTGCATGCACAAATGGGCTGCTGGCACCCACGCACATGTGCAAACAGGACGCTAGTGCCTGTGTGATGCTGGTGGCAGTGCTAATGCACCCGTGCATGCGCAAACAGGGTTGCTAGGCCCCACACGGCGGCACTACCGTGAGTGGGGGGAGCTCGCCAGCTATTCCCACAGCCCGGTGGCCAACAGGGTACGGCCCGGTACCGGGCCATGGACCCTAGGTTGGGGATCCCTGCTATAGGGGAACTAGGAGGAGGAAGGAATATTATGTTTACCACCTTGAATTATTTATAAAATAATAAAAGCGGAATAAAAAAAAACTTTAAAAATCCCCCTGCTATTCTTTGGACAACTGTCAATTAAGACAGCTCTTCTACCAGCTTGAGGCCTTCCCAGAAAATACTTTTTTGTGAGGATGAGTACTCTTGTCACAATTCAGGGACAAGGAATACGACACCAGCGGCTACATTGGCCGGGTTCCTTGGTTCTTTTATTAAAATAAATAAAACAAGCTGGCATAAGTAAATGCCCTCCAGTTAAGCTCTACTCCTACGGAGACACACCCAGGTAGTTGCTTGGCATCCTGACTAAAAGGGTTTGCCACTGACTCCTCCTCAGAATTTTTTGATTCCAAGTCTGGCTGTGGTTCTAGGATGATCTGGCTAACTCCTCTCTAACTACAGGTAGTCCTCGACTTACAACAGTTTATTTAGTGATCATATGAAGTTGCAATGGCACGTTAAAAAGTGACTTATGACCATCTTTCACACTTACAACCGTTGCAGCATCTCCATGGTCACATGATCAAAATTCAGATGCTTGGAAACTGATTCATATTTATGACGGTTGCAGTGTCCCCGGGGTCATGTGATAATCTTTTGCCACCATCTGACTAGCAAAGTCAATGGAGGAAACCAGCACTGATGAAGTTACCTAGTTTGGGTAATGAAATGTCTGCAAGAAAACAAGCAAGCTCAGAGAGCACCAAGGATCCCTCAAGCCAGACTCAGTTAACAACTGTGTTGCTAACTTAACAACTGCAGTGATTCACTTAACAACGGCAAGAAAGATTGTAAAATAGGGCAACACTCAGTTAACAAATGTCTCACTTAGCAACAGAAATTTTGGGCTCAATTGTGGGAGTGAGTACTAACTGTACTAAACAGCAGAGGCCCTGCGGGTTACAATAATGCAGAGTCACCTTATAGGGGAGATGGGTAGTATAAAAGAGAAAGAAAGAAAGAAAGAAAGAAAGAAAGAAAGAAAGGAAGGAAGGAAGGAAGGAAGGAAGGAAGGAAGGAAGGAAGGAAGGAAGGAAGGAAAGAAAGAAAGAAAGAAAGAAAGAAAGAAAGAAAGAAAGAAAGAAAGAAAGAAAGAAAGAAAGAAAGAAAGAAAGAAAGAAAGAAAGAAAGACAGACAGACAGACAAGTGGTATCTTCCAACCTCATTTTCATATCCAAATATCTCTAGGCACTGAATTTCATTTTATTTTTACTTAAAAAAATTTTCTAATTCATATAATACTGCACAGGAAAGAACAATGGTAATTCTCCATTTTGCTAAGAAAACATCATGAAAAGGCAAGATACAAATAGTCCCCAACCTACAACTATTTGTTTAGTGACCGTTCAAAGTTACAACAGCACTGAATAAAGTGATTTATAACCACCTTTCAGAGCGTTACAGCATCCCCACGGTCACATGATCTAAATTTGAGCTCTTGGCAACCAGCATGCATTTATAACACTTGTACTGTCCTGAGGTCATGTCATCACCACTTCAAACTTGCCCAACTGGCTTCCGAGAAACTAAGTCAACAGGGAAAGCCAGATTTGGTTAACAATTGCATGATTCAGTTAACAACTTCATTGATTCACTTAACAGCTGTAGCCAAAAAGGTTCTATAATGGCGCAAAACTCACTTAACAACTGCCTTGCTCAACAACAGAAATTTGGGGCTCAACTGTGGTTGTAAGTCAAGGATTAT